GGCCAAACCTGTGAGTGGGAGACTGCTTTCTAAGTTTCACATGCAGGGTAACTTAACAATCAGAAATAAACTCACAAAGAACAGCTCAATTTCCACAAAGATAAAAATATAAAGGCTCTGCTAAATATCCACCATACCTCCCTTAGAAAAGATGTATTTGTTCAGCTAGCCTTATCTCCATTTCTTCTCTGTTCTCAGCAAGCCCCCGCTACCTTCAGCAGACAGCTCTGCCTATGCTCAGCCCTGCTCAGTGCAGGCAGTACTGGGGTCAGAACAGAATCACTGATGCCATGATCTGTGCTGGTGCTTCTGGAGTGTCCTCCTGTCAGGTAACAACCATTTCAAAGCCTGAAATACAGATACAGTCAGCTTCAAGTCAGTTAGAAACCAATTGTTTATTATGAACTGATACTGTGCTTAACATTCACAAATGACAAATGATTTGTTGACATGTGGATATAAGGATTAGTTTATGATTAACCAACAATTTGCAGATATTTCAAAATGATAATTTCTTGATAACAACTGTTTAAATAACTGTTAATGGAGTGAACATGATAATGTAACAGATAATAAAAAAAATCACCTGTAAATGAATAATTACTTACATTTTTAAATAATATACACATAATGGAATATGGATACATATTCTGGTGGACACATATGGAAACTGATAATGGATAATTCGATATTTGTAGAATACAGAAAAGCAGTCTTTATTGACTAAGTCATTTATAGATTTTGCAAGCCCATCTGATCACTTTCAGTAATGGGTTGTAAATGATCTGATAATGGAAGCATTACCGTACTGAAAAGGGCTTTTCCTGTTTTTTAATTCATTTCAAACTAATGGCAGGTCAACCCACATCCTGTGTGAAGCTGCACAGAACATGAAGTCCCCTCGATGCATCAGTATCGAGCAATATGAAGAGCTTTTATTCTATTATATTTCCCCAGACATGCTCTTAAAATTCAATTAGAAACACATATTTGTCTCATTTCAGGGTGACTCTGGTGGCCCTCTGGTTTGCGAGAACAGTGGAGTGTGGTCCCTTGTGGGTATTGTTTCCTGGGGCACCTCTAACTGCAACGTGCGCGCCCCCGCCGTGTATGCCCGTGTGTCCTACCTGCGCAGATGGGTCGACCAGACTGTTGCTTCCAACTAATGCGCAAACACACACAAAGTCTGCAGTATGCACGTGCTTGCATGTTTTCCCACACTTCATCATCCTGCTGCTCACTGTGATCAGCTGTCACAAGGACGTTATTATTTCTGCTGACTGTGCTGCTGTTTGGTGCATTTGTGAGAAATCATGTATAAAATATAACTCCTAAAAACACTAGTGTTGGTTTTCAGAATTTTTTTTTGTTCAGATTTTGCTGCATTGCATTATCTTCCTGTTATTTTCAAGTCCTTGTGTATGTCTTAATGCCTTGTTGAAAAGCCATGGTAGCAGGAGAAGCACTGTCTCATTGGCAGCTGCATGAACTGAGAAGGAGGAGTAATTAGATAGAGAGAATGAAAAAGGCAGAACGAAATAGAGGATCAGCTTAGACTCTTGGCACAGCAGAGAAATGAGCACCGGTAAGATACTTTACATATATTATTGCATTGCTTTAAAACTGCATTGACAGAAAAATGGTCTACCATAGTTTCTTGCTAAACTGATCTCAAATAGGTATGCATAAAGCCTTTTTTTAGTAAAAAGGTAATATTTTCTGATCATAACAGAAATTGAGTGAAATGTGTGGAAGTCTATTTTGCAATTTAGTATAATATATCCTGTGACTACTTCATCTCATCAATCTTGTACTATAGTGGGGGCCAATGTTGCATATGTTGCATAGACCAGTGGTTACCAACCATTGAGTAAACTGACAAGCTGACCTGTATTATGAATATTTCGTGTAATTATATTAGGGCCATTACAATAACAGTAAACCACAACTGATAAACTGCACCACTGACACAAATAGTGATGCAAATAATGCAGGAAGTCTGTGTAAAAATGAGAGCAAATTTGGGATGAATTTTTAGCAATTAATTCTTGTAAATATTTCATCAGAGATTGAGTTTTCCTGACTATTTTTAGTTACTTTTTATAACATTGTCTGTCCAATCTTTCCTACTTACTTAATAATCCTTTGGCCATCCGTTTTCAATTATAACAACCAATTATTTGCTCATTTATAAACTCCTTCTTTGTCTATTAGCCTTTTGGGGTTGTTTAACTGCCAAACTTTTCATTTTCTGGGCCTTTTATTGGATAGCTAGACAGCCAAAGACATGCAGGAAGGGGGGGGGGCAGAGAAGTTGGGGATGACACACCGCAAAAGGCCACACAGGTCAGGATTCGAACCCCCCTGGGCCGCTGCAGACAACTCCGTACAATGGGTCACCAGTCTCACCAACTGAGCGTAAACCGGGGCAGCAGACACCTACGTATTATGAATATTTCGTGTAATTTATATTAGTGCATTACAAAAACAGTAACAGCACAACTGATAAACTGACGCACTGACACAAATAGTGATGCAAATAATGCAGGAAGTCTGTGTAAAATGAGGCAATTTGGAATGAATTTTTAGCAAATTAATTCTTGTAAATATTTCATCAGAGAATTGAGTTTTCCTAGACTATTTTTAGTTACTTTTTTATAACATTGTCTGTCAAATCTTTCCTACTTAACTTAATATCCGTTTGGCCCATCAGTTTTCAATTATTAAACCCACATTATTTGTCTCATTATAAACTCCTTCCTTTGTCTATTAGGCCTTTGGGTTGTTTAACTGCCAAACTTTTCATTTTCCTGGCCTTTATTGGATAGTGACAGCCAAAGACAGCAGGAAGGGGGGGGGCAGAGAAGTGGGGGATGACACACCGCAAAAGGCCCCAGGGTCAGGATTCGAACCCCTGGGGCCGCTGCAGACAACTCCGTACAATGGGTCACCAGCTTACCAACTGAGACTTAACCGCGCGCACAGCGTTGTTCATCAGAGTGTGAAGGCTACTGTATATTTTATTATTAAGTTTCCTTACACCCCTTAAAATCAAGAAGGCATGGCAACCTCAGGGTCGGGAACCTGGCATAAACCATGTGCCAGGTCAGGAACTTAAACCCTAAAATATTATGATAAAAACCACAAACTTGTGATACAGTTAGTTAAAATCTGATTATAAACATTATGAAAGTAATACAATTCTGTTTTTCTTTCTAATGTCTGTATTATTGCTTTTTTTAATTAGGTAACATATCCACTGCAGCTACAACAGCTGGGATAGATGTTTCCAAAAACATCCAGTTAGCCTCCTTGGTCATCTACTGTATAATATCTGCGGTTGGGATTCTGGGCAACGGTCTGGTCATCTACGTGACAGGCTTCAGGATGAAGAGAACCGTCAACTCAGTTTGGTTTCTCAACTTGGCCCTGGCTGACTTCCTCTTTACAACCTTCCTGATTTTCACAATCATTTCTTACTCTCAGCATTTCCACTGGCCTTTTGGACTTTTTGTGTGCAAGATCAACACTTTAGTGACTGTGGTCAACATGTTTGCCAGTATCTTTCTTCTGACAGCCATAAGTCTGGATCGTTGCCTGGCAATATGCGTGGTGGTGTGGGCACAAAACAAGCGCACCGTTTGCAAAGCTCAGATTATATGTGCAGTCATCTGGGTTGCTGCTGTAGCCTGCAGCGCCCCTTTTGCCACTTTACGTGAAGTTCATACGAGTGGTGACTCAATTTACTGTATTTATTCTGAATCCTTGACATCTGAAAAAGATTTGACTCTAAAAATCTTTCGCTTTCTTATGGGCTTTCTTCTCCCATTCCTGGTAATATTTGTCTCGTATGTGGCCATAGGTGTTCGCGCAGGGCGCCTGCAGAGGAGCCGGAAAAAGAGACCTCGCAGAATCATTTTCTCTATCGTTTTTGCATTCTTTATCTGCTGGTTTCCCTTCCATGTTATGCAGTTCATAGAATTTAAGGTTAAAAGTCACAACAATTTTGTTATGATTGGAGCTCCTCTGACTGTGTGTCTGGCTTTTATGAACAGCTGCCTGAACCCCATTCTCTACGTTTTCATGTGTGATGAATTCCAGAAGAAGCTCAAGCAATCCATATGCTTCGTCCTGGAGAGTGCCCTGGCAGAGGACCACTTGTCATTCATGTCCTCTCGCTCCCTGTCCTCACACTTTTCCAAGTCTTCCCGAAAATCTGACTCTGTTGCACCTTTGGAGAGGAAAGACACATCCACTACCTTAACCTTCATGGAATGCAAAGCGGTCATCACCGATGAGAATGAAGCAGTGTGCACTTAATCAGACCTCCATAACCACTTCCTTAAACTTCACAGAAAGCAAAGTGGTCATCACTGAGGAGAGAGAGAGAGAGAAGAGAGAGAGGAGAGAGAGACACTGAGCACTGATTGAATCCATACTTGTGATATAGTATATAATAGTACAGTGAACTAAAAATCACATGTTCAATTGATTCAAATAGTACTTACATATATCCTTGGAAAATAAGTAGAATATTAACTGTGTATTTTTTTTATGTTAAAGTGCCTACTCACTGACTAGTGTTTTTTACTTTCAAATGGCTTTTAAGACATCCCTGCTGGTACTTATGTTGCACCTGTTATGACTTGCATAATAGTTTGACGACGTCAGACATCTTTCAAAGTGTTCTAGGTCTTATCAGCCAGAATAAATGAAAACACCTGTGAGGGTGTGCTTCAGCTTCTTGTGTAATCATGAATGTAAAACATTTAAAGTCAAGACTTGCCTAGGATTCATTTTGATAGAGAAATTAGTTTTATGTTGATGTTTGTAAGCTTTTGATGCCCATTCATTTACCCATAGTTATCAGCATCTATGACAGTCACACACAAGAATTAACTTTTATAACTGTGCATTTTAATACAGAGAATAAAAACATGTTGATGAGCTGTTCTATTTTTTCTATGGGACAAACACAAGCACACACTTCTCCCTAGGTGGTGTTTTATCTTCCACAATCGACACCACAATGGTAAAATGTGTTTGCAAAATGGAACATACTTACTTAGTCAAACCACTCCAATGACTGAAAGCACTCCACAAATGAGTTTGCAAGATGCAAATAAGAATGCAAATACAACTTGGTTTTGGCAGTTAGTCAAAGCACATTATCTATCTAACAAAACACTTTTTTAAAAATACTTTATCCTTTAAACTGACAAGTTGTAATAGTAGGCGGCTGCATATATGAACAAAAAACCACCTAACCCTAAAAAAATTCTAACAAAAGGTTTCTCAGCTGTTTTTTGTAGTATTAGGTGTCCTTAATAACATACTAAAAGTTTACCAAAGTTTGACCA